TCCCTGTAGTCCCAGCTGTCCTGGAACTCACTATGTAGACCAGGCTGGCCTTGAACTCACAGAGATCCACCTGCCTCTGCCTCCCAAGTGCTGAGACTACAGGTATGCACCACCACACCTGGCCCTTGTTTTGGTTTTTAAAAAAAATTTATTTATATATGTGTCAGTATATATGCATGTGGATGTGGATCCACATGCATGTGTGTGTGCAGAGGTCAGAAGAGGGCATTGGGTATTCTCCTCTGTCATTCTCCACCTATTCCTTTGAGGCAGGGTCTCTCCCTGACCTAGAGTTCATATTTTTTCAGCTAGGCTGGAACTCAACAAGACCCAGAAATCCTCCTGTCTCTGTGCTCCTTGGAGCTGGAGTTACGGACATGCATGGGACTCCTGGCTTGTTATGTAGGTGCTGGGATCCAAACTCTAGTCTTCCTGATTGCACAGCAAGCATTTTTAAGCACTGATTCATCCCTTCAGACCTTGAATTGTATCTTTATGTTGGAATTTATGTCTCTGGAGGTCTTTGTATGTTATGTGTGTGGGTGTGAGTTTATGTGCTTGTTTGTGGCAATTTTTTATGCCTGGGTAATTGTATATAATATATGTGCATGTGAACCTGAGGCGTTTGGGTGTCTGTGTCTTTTATATGCTGGGTATGTTTGTGGTTTAGGTGATTAGAGTCCATCTGTGGTCATATAGCATCTGTGTGTCAGAGAGTATGTGTCTTTCTGATTGTAAGTCTGTAACTGCCTGCCTCTAAGTGTATGCACTGTGTCTGTATGTTTCTTGTGTATGTGTGAAGGACAGATGTTGAAAGTACTCCATGAAGTGTAAGGAACAGCTCCCCCTTTTCTGTTTGTTTGGGTTTTTTCTTTTTTCTTTTCTTTTCTTTAGGTAGTGTCTCCCTGTAGCCCCAGCTGTCCTGGAACTCACTATGTAGACCAGGCTGGCTTCTGCCTCCCAAGTGCTGGGATTAAAGGCCTGTGCCACCACCCCCGGCTTAGGGTTTTTTGGTTTTTTTTTTTAAAGACAGGGTTTCCTAGCCTGGAACTCAAAATGTAGACCAGGCTAGAGTTGATCTCACAGAGATCCACCTGCCTCTTCCCCCCAAACAAGTAAAATCATTGATGAACTCCACCCCATCCTGGGGAGACTGTAGGAGTCTCCTCTCTCTTGCCCTCCAGGGTTGTACCGAGGTCCTGTGCCTGGGACATTTGGGGATGGGCCCATGGGCTTCAGCCCCTACTGTCATTTGCTGATGTACCAGTGTTCACTGTTCAAGGGCATGGTCCTCAAGGGCGTGCACTGTTGATCCCATCTCAAGACTTCCCTCTGAGATCCCAGCTCTGGCTGACTCTGCTCTACCTCAGGCACTATCTGGGTTGGAACTTCTGTCCCCAGGGCAATCTCTTTGGCATGCTATCCTCTCTGCCTGTTTTCTTCCTGTGGGAAGGTTTGGAAAGTTCCTTTTGATTAACCCAGATAACTTCTGGTTTGGATCCAACAACCTAGGCCCTGAAGCCCAGCATTGTGACCCATTCCTGTAATCTCAACACTCCTTAAAGGTGTGTGAGTTTAAGGCCAGCCTGGGCTACATAGTGAGTTCAGAGCCATTCTGAGCTATGTGGCTAGGCTCAGACTCAAAAAACAAAACAACCCCCAGACTTTAAGCCCCTGAGTAAAGAAAATTTGCTGAGGTGGCTTGGAATGTAGTTCAGTTGACAGTCTTTATCTAGCATGCACAAAGTTCTAAAGTTCTATCCCCAGGACTGCATAAATCAGATATAGTAGTACATACCTTTAATCTCAGTCCTCAGAGGTAGAGGCAGGAGGGTCAGAAGTTTAAGGTCATCCTCAGCTGCATAGTGAGTTTAAGACCAGACTGGGCTAGAAAAGATACTGGGAAGTGGGGGGTCGGGGTGGGGAGCAGGGATAGAAAAGGAATGAATTGCTGGGCATGATGGCATAGGCCTTTTATCCCAATACTTGGAGGCTGAGATAGAAGGACCAGGAGTTCAAGGCCAGCCTAGGTTATATGAAACCCAGCCTAAAAAAAATAAAAGGAGCCAGGCATGGTGGTGCACGCCTTTAATCCCAGCACTCGGGAGGCAGAGGCAGGCGGATCTCTGTGAGTTCAAGGCCAGCCTGGTCTACATAGTGAGTTCCAGGACAGCTGGGGTACAGGGAGACCCTGTCTCAAAAAGACCAAAAAATAAATAAATAAAAAATAAAAGGAAAAGAAAAACAAAATTGGATAAAAAAATTTTGAAAAAGAACCCTTACCAACCTAGCTCACCAGAATTCCAGTGTTAAGAATTCCTGGTTTGGGGGCTGGAGAGATGGCTCAGTGGTTTTAAAAAAAAAAAAAAAAAAAAAAAAAAAAAAAAAAAAAAGAACCCTTATAATCAGGAAAGAAAGAAAGCATTCAAGTTAATACTCCAAAGGAAAGAGCCTGCTGCATGGGGAGCCTCAGGCCTCCTGGTGTTGTCCTACCTGGTCACTTACCTTCCTGTCATGGCTGTCACTCTCCTTAGCAGACTTTGGACAGTGACAAGGCTGGTAAGATAGGGCTGTCTTCCCCTGCCAACAGATCTAGGCACAAACGCCAGATTAGGAGAGAGGAAATTCCAACGAAAGACTCCTTTGCCCCTTTCCTGCTGCTGCCTGTGCCCAACTCTTTGTCCCAATAGTTGTGACTCAAAAAACAAAACAGAATTGGAAACCAGAAGGGCAGCAAGAGGTGCCAAGGTGATCCTGTGAAAATCAGGCCATGCTTTAAACCATACAGGTCACCCTGGCCATCCCTTTACCTCCTGACAGATCAAATCAGCCAGGAGTAGGCTGCCCCTTTGGGGATTACAGCCACTGGATGGGAAAATTCTAGGAGCCTGACCACATTTTGTATTGTGCCTTTACTGAGTCCTCCCACTCCCCTCACAGATGGACCCAGTCCAGAAAGCTGTCATCAGTCACACGTTTGGGGTCCCCTCCCCTCTGAAGAAGAAGCTGTTCATCTCCTGTAACATCTGTCACCTGAAGTTCAACTCAGCGGTAAGAGGGAGACACAGAAATGGGGCTAGGAGGGGGATGGGCCTCCCTCTAGACTGGTACTGGAGAAATAGGTGGTAAGGGGGCTGTGTCCTGACATTCCATTTCTGGTCCTTTAACCACTCCATCCTCTCCTGGCTCCTCTCCCTTCCCACACCCCCTGCTGCCCACCTCTAGCCCCCTGGGATTTCATTTCCCTCCCCTCTACCTCACACCCATCTTCTGAATCCTTCTATGAAAGAGAAGACTTCCCTTCTCCACTCTGGGGCCCAGAGGCCACCGTATGAGCTCCTGGTCTTGACCCGAGATATTTACAGCATGTGTTCACTCCAGCATCTTAATGGACTCTCATGATACATCTCTGAGAGGTAGAGAGGCACAATTACCATCTCCACTTTTCAGAGGAGGACAGTCTCTGAGTGGTTAAGTGACTTGTCTGAGGACACAGCTGGTAAATCACACTGTTGAGATTTGACCCTGGCCCTGGCTGACCCCAAGGCCTGCATATTCTTACTGCTGTCTATCCTGAGGGAGAGGAGGAGCCTTATTCTGGGGTTTGGGCTAAATGTCAAATCCACTGTGGATTGTGGCCAAAGTGGGCTCAGGGAAGGGCTGTCAAGGTTTGTCTTTTCCACCTTTGGGAAACGGGCTGGGGAGCAACATGCAGACCCCTGGCTAAAGTAGAGAGGAGGCTGACAGCCCTGGTTTGGAGTTCTCTCTAGACTTTTAGGTTACACTGTCCTGCAAAAGGTAGGCAGAGAGAGTTTGCTGGGACATGTCTCCACATCCAGACCTGGCGGAGTGGCAGAACATATAGTGAACACTCAAAAACTTTTACTTTTTAAAAAAATGAACAATGGGATGTGTGTTTAGGGGTATCTTAGATCCAAATATAAGGATTTCCATGTGTTTTCCATATGTATACCCCTAAACACTCAGAAGCCCCTACTTTATACTCAAGGCCCTTGAAGTTCATGTCCCATTTAACCTGGACAGTCACAAAACTTGAAGCTGGGCACAGTGGTGCGTGCCTGTGATCCCAGTACTTGGGAAGCTGATGCAGGAGGATCATGGGTTTGAAGCCAGCCTGGACTACACAGTGAGTAGTCCATTGCCGGAATATTCAGTACATACAGGCAGACACCCAAAAGCATTGGGCAGTGAACTTTCCTGGACTGAACTCCTCTGGATCAGGGAACAAAAGATAGAAACAAACAGAGCTGGAGGTGTGGCCTTAGAAGTAGAGCACACACAAGGCCCTGGTTCAATCCCCAGTTACACACACACACACGCACACACACACACACCCTTTATGAGGTGATTAAAGCTCAGAGAGGTAATGTGACTTGCCTAAAGGTACACAGCTTATAAGTAGCTGAGTTCAAATTTGAAGGCAGAGGTTGCCTGCGTTGGAGCTCCTGTGGGAGAACACATTCTGTAAACCTCAGGCCTCCTTCCCACATGTGATGATGATGATGGCAATGAATTCACCCCTTGTGTGACCAAGCCCTAAATCCCATTGACCCCATATCCCTTTGACCTGTCCCTTTGCTCAACCTCAGCTCCTGGATGGGGCATGTGACCCAGAGAAGGTGACCCCTGCCCTCTTCTCTCCAGAACCAGGCAGAAGCTCATTACAAGGGCCATAAGCATGCCAGAAAACTCAAGGCTGTTGAAGCTGCTAAGAGCAAACAGAGGCCGAGAACCCTGACCCCGAATGGAACAGTGTCTTCAGCTTTCCCTCCCACCAGCAGAGAGCCGGGAGACCCACAGAGCAAAGGTCAGTCCTAAACTCCTCAGATTTTCCCCATAGTTCAGAGGTCAGGACTCTCAAATCCAGATGTGAGTAGGCTTGATTCTTTCCTGGCAGTTAGGAGAAGCCTTCCCTTGCCTCTCAGCTTGTGGCTGCCGCCAATCCTCTGTGCTCTTTAGCTTATAGATGCCTCACTTGTCTCCATCTCCACCCCTACACCATCTTCTCCCCTGCATGCCCCTGTGCTCTATACTTCATGTGATATTTTTTGCTTAGATGAGAGTCTCTTATACCCAGGCTAGCCTCAAACTCTCTATGTAACAGGGGATAACTTTGAATTTATTCTTCTGCCTCCACCACCCAGGTGCCACCACACCTGGTTTATGTGGTGCTGGGAATTGAACCCAGGGATTCAAACATGCTAGACTGACACTCTGCCAACTGAGCTACATCCCAGGCCCCATGTGATCTTCTTATAAGGACACCAGTTATCATATTAGTCTGCCCTAATCTAGCAGGATCTCATCCTAACTAATTATATCTACAAAGACTGAATTTCTAAGTAAGTCACATCCTTGGGTTTCATATGGACAAGAAATCCATAATTTCACCTGGATTTGGTGAAACACAGAGTAAGTAGGTTTCTGTTGACTTTTGTTTATCTCTCAAGAATGTACATCAGACTGGGTATGATGATAAATGCTTGTAATCCCACCACTCACGAGAGTGAAGTAGGAGAGTTGAAAGCTCTGAGTTCAAGGCTAGCTTGAGTTACATAAGACCCTTCTCAGGAAACAGAGGACAGGAGGCTGGGGATGTGACTTGGTTGGCGGAATGCTTGCATACCATGCAAGAAGCCCTGGGTTTGATTCCCAGCACTAACATAAAACTGGATGTGGTGGCACATGCCTGTGATCTTAACACTCAGGAAGGAGAGACAGGAAGATTAGAAGTTCAAGGTCATCCTCAGTTACATAGTGAGTTCACAGCCAGCCTGGGATATATGAGACTGTCAAAAAAGCAAAGCACAAATGTCAATGTTCATTATGTCTTTGAGGTTGTGTATAGCAGTAGTTTTCCTTTTTCATTGCTATGTATGACTCTATTGCAAGAATATACCACTATTCACCTGTTTGATGGAATTTTTAGTTTTATGCTTTTATGAGTAGTATCTAGGAACCTTCTAGCACATTCTGGTGACTTCTGCTTACTTAATACTGAATAACCTGCATATCAGGCTGAGAGGGCTCTCAAAGACCACTCTGTCCAACTTTATGATTTTAGATAGGGAAACTGAGGTCTAAGTCTGCCTGGTGCGTTGGTGGCTAGAATTAGTACTGGCTGACCCTTCCCTAGGGAGCCTTTCACCCTCCCACACTATCTCCACTGGCAGTGCAGAGCCTCAGGGGCTCATCCCTCCCATCTCCCTCCAGGTCCTTCAGCCCCTCCTCTCAGCCCTCTGATCCAGTTACCACCAACCCAAGACCCACCGGCCAGAGAGCCAGTCCACTCAGACTTCTTGGATGCTGCTTCCTCTTCCTCTTCTTGCCCACCCTGCTCCCCAGAGCCCAGCAGGGAGGTGCCAGGGCCTGAGCCTGCAGCAATGGCTGCAGGAACTGGAGTGAATGGGGAAGGCAGGAGTGAGAAGGGGCGCCTCTACTGTCCTACATGTAAGGTGACGGTGAACTCGGCCTCTCAGCTTCAGGCCCACAATACAGGTCAGTGCCCCCCAAGAGCTGGGATTGGGAGACAAGAGAGGCAGGGAGGCTGGGCCTCACCAGGTGTGGGCACATTGCTCTATGGGTGACATAGGATCCCTGTCCACTGTTAATGAGCAGGCATTTCTGGATCCTCCTCTTGATCCCAAAGGAGGGAGCACTGGGAAGATAAGTCTGCAGCAACCAGAAGTGAAGGACACAGTCTCTACAAAGTCCCTCTGTACTCGGACAGGAGTCCCCTCCTCCTTGGATCAAAACAGAAGGAAGGGACTTTGAAGAGCAGCTGACTAGTCTCCAAGGCCTTCTTCCTTGAGGGATGCCCATAGGAAGCCAAAGATGGTGGGAAGAGGAATCCCATGTGGCCGAAGGGCCATGTGTGTGCAGAGCAGCCTCAAGGCTTATAGACAACAAAACTGGCCTAGTTGGCTAGGGTCTCTGTGGTCCCTTTAATGCTGACAGTCTTTTATTCTTCCAGGAGCCAAGCATCGATGGATGATGGAAGGTCACCAAGGGACTCCCCGAAGGGGCCGGGGCCGCCCTGTGTCCTGGGGAGGGGCTGGACACAAGACCAAGAGAGTGACAGGGAGTCGTGGGGGCCGGCAGGGACCCAGCCCTCCTTTCCACTGTGCCCTCTGTCAGCTCCAGGTCAACTCAGAGACCCAGCTTAAGCAGGTGGGAGAAAAGATGCCAGGATGGGTGAGTGGGCAGCAAAGCAAGGGAGGAGGGGTGGGTGCCCACAGACAGTTGGAAAGGCAGGGCAGGGTGAACTGGCTGCCCAGGGCTGCCCCAACATGAGAACCCATCATGTGTGTACTGAATGTGAGAGCTGTGGGCAGAGGACGCACGAGCTAGGGCAAGAGGAGTTTTAGGTTCTGTGGTCCTCCCCATCTTGTTCTCAGTCTGTCTGTCTGTTCACTAGCACATGAGCAGCCGGAGGCACAAAGACCGCCTGGCAGGGAAGCCCCCTAAGCCCTCCAGCCAGCACAGCAAACTGCAGAAGCACACAGCGCTGGCTGTGACTGTCCTCAAGGTACTTGCCTCCAGGCAACAGTGGGGACCAGAGTATACAGGGAGTAGGCGGGAGGGCTAAGGGACTTGGATGGAGCACAGAAGAAAGGAGGCCCTTGAGGCTGCTTGGGCAGGGACAGGGCTAGGCTGGGCTTCTGGTTGTCCTGGGCTATACCCAGAGGAATTTCTGGGGAGGAGGGCTAAGGTCACAACATGATGGGCAAGAGGCAAAAGTGGGTGTGCATCTCCTGGAGACCATCTCTGCTACCCCTCACAACCCTATCCTGAGGGTGTCCACCTGCTGGGCAGGAAGACAGGTGGCTGAGAAAGCCCTCTGGAATGTCTATTTGGGGGTGGGAAGGAAGAAGGCTTAGATTTAGAACTCTAGAAAGCACGTTCTTTCCGTGAGGCAAAAAGCCCATGGATGTGGCCCAGGGAGGGGCGAGCTTCTCTGGGGTCAGAGACCCTGTTCATCCTTCTCTCCTTTCTTTGTAGTCTAAACTGGCCTTGCAGAAGCAACTCACCAAGACACTGGCAGCCCGTTTCCTGCCCAGTCCACTGCCCACCACAGCTGCTGCCATCTGTGCTCTGCCAGGGCCCCTGGCCCTCCGGCCTGCCCCAACAGCAGCTACTACCCTCTTCCCAGCTCCCATTCTAGGCCCAGCTCTGTTTCGTACTCCAGCAGGAGCTGTCCGCCCTGCCACGGGACCCATCCTTTTTGCTCCCTATTAATGTTCCTGGGGAGGCTACGGCCGATTTCCTAACAGTCACACACACTCTCTTCCTGCCCCTGAGATACCGATTTCCTACATCCCACAGGGACTGCCTTTTGCAGTTTAGGGGTTCTTGCCCAATCTGGGATAGCTGCTCTTCACTCTGGACTGAGATCTAAATGAGTCTCCTGGGTCTGAGGACCATCTCTACCATTTCCCAGGCCGGTCCCAGGCTCCCCTGCATCTATGGCCCCATGAATTCCAAAGATCTATGCAAAATCAGCCCCAGCCACATGGTGCTTATTTCTCCAACCAGAGACCTATACACTGGCAGACTCTGGATCTTAGCTCCTACCAGCCAGCCTTGCCTGCCATGTTCTGGGGCCCCACTGGGGGTCTCTGAAGAACCACTGGAGATAGGGTCTCAAAGCCAGAGTGGACTTAAGTTTATCAGGCAACTTGATCTTAGGGTGGACAGGTGTAGTGTTGCACACCTGTAATCTCAGCACCTGGGAGGCTGACGCAGGAGGCGCATGAGTTCAAAACTCAGTCTGGGCTATACAGCAAGACACTGTCTAAAAAAAAAAAAAAAAGTTGGCAGGGCGGCAGAGGATCATGGAGGAAAAAGAGGCCCCCAAAGTCCTTTGACTATTCAATGTGAAAGTGAGACTGAGCCAAGAGGGGGCTCTATCTGATCAGTGGGGACCAGGTTAGAAGGTGAGGGTGTTCAGGCTGGGCTTGGTTCTAACAGAAGTGACCTGTCTTACCACAACTGTCCTTAGCCTTTCAGCAGTTCCTCTTGAACCTCTAAGGGGAACCCTGTGTCTCCCTCAGAATATGGACTCCCCAACACCTCAACTGGTGTGCAGCCATCCCTACCATGGAGCTTAGGGCTGGTACGGTCTCCAATATGCTCTCAAGATCCACTTTCATGTTGCCAAAGTCAGTGTCCCCTCCCCTCAAATATGGGACTTTGCCAGAATCCCCCTTTATCTTTTTTTTTTTTTGGTCTTTTTTTAGACAGGGTCTCCCTGTAGCCCCAGCTGTCCTGGAACTATGTAGACCAGGCTGGCCTTGAACTCACAGAGATCTGCCTTCCTATGCCTCCTGAGTGCTGGATTAAAGGCGTGCACCACCACGCCCAGCATTTATCTTTTTTAAAAAAAGTTATTTCCAATGGGACAAGAAAAAGGGGGGAGGGAAACTTTTTGATAACAGCAGTTGTGATTTTATTGTGTCCAACACATCAATAAATGAACTTCAAGCCCAAGCCTACAGATGCCCTGACTTTCCTTGTTCAGCCCTGGGCACCAGCCCCTTCTCACTTGTTCTGGGGAGAAGGGGTGGGTACTGGAGGTGGCCTGGCTGTAGCGTCTCTCCCATGTGAGGTGTGTACATCAGAAGCACAAAGTGGGCACCAGAAGTTGTGGGTTATAAGCTCACTTGATAACACAAGCCCAACACAAGGCCTGTCAGCTCCTAGGAAGCTGCTACTGGTTTGCCTGGTTCTGTTCAGGCATCTGAGGTAAGAAGGGCTAGAGGAGCACCTTGTCCCGCCTTCACCAGGGCAGCAGGCATATAAATACAGATAATATAAATACAAGTCCAGCTACTAGCCAAAAACAACCAGAAGGAAGGATGGAGACCAACCCTGTGTGCAGGTCCACAGACTGCACACTCAGGGGCCACTCAGGCCACAGAGAGCAGAGTGCACTCCTGCCCCCTGGTGGTTGGAAGGAGAAGCTTATCCAGCCGCCAGGGCTGGCAGGTATAGCACCTTGAAGAGGGAGAAGCAGGGGGCACAGTCACAGGAGGCCCAAGCCAGGGGCTTCAGAAAAATCAGAGAGCTGCAAAAGATCTAAGAGATCATCTAAGCAACTCCTGTCAATATACAGATGAGAAAACTGACACCAGAGGGAAATGACCTTGCTGGATCACAGTCCCAGGTAACTGACAGCACAGTCATCATTTGACTCCACCTCAACCAATGAGACCCATTTGTTCCCAGAGCAGGAAGAGGAAGTGAAACAGCTGGGCGAGGGGTAGAGGTCAGAGAAAATGCCCCTCCCAGAGGGCCTAGCTTTTCCCAGCCAGGCTGGAGGAAAGGTCAGGGTGAGGGATGAGGAGCCAGCCCTAAGCCAGCACGTATGCACATGCACTCACAACACCTGGTCACGCTTTCTCAAGCCCAGGCTGGTGGTGTGTGTCTGTTACTGGCAGGAAGTTTAGAGAGTTGGGATCCCTAGGACAGGAACCAGTCCTGGACTGGGCATTTCAACATGGCAATCCTGCTTCCTGACCAAGGCAGGCAGAAGGGACACTGACCCATACATAAATGCCTCAGGTGACAGTGGAGAAAAATATGTGAGCAAGGGGGTGGGAATGGGGAATATTATGGGCGAGTTGAGGGGAGAACTAGCAATCAAGGTTACTTGTACTTCTTGGAATTGAGAGGGAAAAAAAGTAGTGTTGGCCTGGGTCAGCCCAGCTGCCTGGCCTAGTGGGGTGCTCCCCTGCTGACTGAGAAGGACAGCTTGCCTTTGTACTCTTGTGCCCTCAACTCATCCTCCAGAGCCCCAGAAGCTGGAACAGGGTTGGAAGGTAAAGAAGGAAGGGCAGTTCTTCAGCCATCCAAGGAGCCGCTGCCCTTGTTCTTGCGACTGAGGGGGAAGGCAGACTTGCTCTGGGGCTGGGTCATCTTGCTAGCCAGGTAGATGAAGGGCTCCAGGAGCGAGCGGCGGTCAGCTACTGACACCTCCCACAGCTTCACCTTCTCTGACTTGGCCCAATGCTGAGCCACATCTGGGTCTACACGCCGCTGCTCCTGTAGGTCACACTTATTGCCAAGGACCACGATGGTGACCTGGAGAAGAGACAGAGTAGAAGCAGGTGGGTATGCTGTGGGCCAGGTTCAGGGGCAACTGTCAGTTGTCTTTGGTGAATAACAGGGAAGGATGCAGTTCCCAAAAGTCAACAGCTTATAGCATTTTGGAGGACTGGCAAGAGCATGGAACCATCAGGAAGATTAGGGAGCACTTTGTATGTTAGCAGGGGACTCCTTTAAACCAAAGAGAAGTCTCTTTGATTGAGCTGCCCTATCAACCTGGTCACCTCAGGAGGGGTTGAAGACACTCTCTAGTGACCTTCAGACCTCATCTAGCTCCTAACATACCTCTTGGCACATGAGTGAAAACTGGAATCATGGTAGGTCTCTCAAAGCCAGCCAAGGGTCCATGATCTCCCACCACTGGGGTTCCGAGGAGAAGCCCAGGACAAGTACCTCCTTCTTATCCTTAGACTTGTCAATTTCCTTCTTGAGCAGCTCCACACGCTGAAAAGATTCTCTGCTGTCTGTGCTGTAGACCAGGACGTAGCCATCAGTGCAGGAGAAGCAATGCCGGGGCAGCTCGGCCCCATCTCGGAGCCCTCGGGTATCATAGAAACGCACCTGCTCCCGTACCCCCCGGTCTGTCTCGATGGAGCCTACGTAGATGTCTTCCTGGGTCTCTATCATCTCAGAACCTGGGATAAATATGAGAAGACTTGTTTAAGTGGACAGGGAGATGGGAAATGTGAGGGAAGTGGACATTCTAAAAGGCTGACCAGACAAGGGAGATTTTTCTTTCTTACCTTGGCTTTGGGTGTCTTCCCTCCAGATTTGTTCTGTGTTGTACAACTGGGGTTATATTGTTAGTTTTACTTTTTTTTTTTCCACTTCTGAGTTTCAAACCCATGCTTAATGCATGCTAGACAAGTGGTCTACCAGTAAGCCATAACCACAGCACTACTTTTGAGGGTACAAAAAACCACTGGTGCACCTTAAAAGACTAAAACCTTTGTATGCATGGTCTGATCAAATCCTGTTCCTTATTCAACATCTTTCACCACCTTCCCAGCCCCGACAACACTCACCCACAACATGGTTCCCGTACAGGAGCTGCTCAAGAATTGAAGTTTTGCCCACAGATGCCTGGCCACACACAACCACCTTGCAGCTCTTCCCCATGCTTAGCTTTCAACCTTGAGGAACAGAAGCATTTATGGGTGAGGTAAGAGAAGAGATTAGAATCAAAGGAAGGCAGACCTCCCCTGACTCTAAGTCCAAGTCTGAAACCGAAGGGAAAATTTTCAGGGATTCAGCACCACCCTGGTGTGTTTACCTCCATTACTGAGCAGTAAGCTGTATGGTAATCAACTTTGTTGTCCCCAGGACATAACCAGTATTTGGCACAGGGCAGGTGCATAGTAAATAGTGCCATAAAAGGAGAGGAGAGTCAGGCTGGGCATGGTGGTACAGGGTTGAGCATGGTGGCGCACGCCTTTAATCCCAGCACTCAGGAGGCAGAGGCAGGCGGTTCCCTGTGAGTTCCAGGCCAGCTGGGACTATAGGGAGACCCTGTCTAAAAAAAAAAAAAAAAAAAAGCAGTTGGCCAGGTTCCGTTCTGTGGACAGGATGTATCACCAGTGCTGCTGCCTCACTGTTTTGGTTTCCACCCCCCTTTGGTCTCTTTGTAGCCCCAGCTGCCCTGAATCAGGGCAGCCTCGATCTCACAGAGACCCACCTACCTCTGCCTCCTGAGTGCTGGGATAAAACGTGTGCACCACCACACCCTGCCTGGCTTTTAAAACAGTCTCACATAGCCCAAGCTGGCCTCTGCTCACTATGTAGCTGAGGCTGGTCTTGAACTCCTGATCCTCTAGTCTCCATCTCCCTCCTGCTGGGGTTACAAGCATGTGTGCACACTCGGTTTTCTCTCCTTAATCACGACCTCATCAAGAAAGGTGCAGGAATAGTAGGATAAGTAAATAAAAAGAATAACTTGTTCTCTTGTGTGACTTATCTTGGTAACAATTACTCCTTCTACCCATTCCTAGTTAAATCCACCGGTAAAATAAAGATCAGCCAAGAAAGGAAGGAATCTAAGGAAAAAAGCTTCGGAAAGGAGATAACATTTCACTGCCCTTGGACTGACAGACACAAAGGGCAGCTCAGATTTCGAAACTCTCAAGCAGCCCAGGGAGAGACCTCCCCCACAGCAAACTTCCAAACATAGGCTCCTCGGGAGCGTCAATGACCACCAGAGAGCAGAGATCCCAAAGAGGACCCCAAGCGGAACCCTCTCCGGGGGAAGGTCCTGACACTGACTCCCACCCCACATTCTAATTAAGGGAGCCCCGAGAGGATGCCGGGGAGGCCGCAGCCACATATTTCTCTGGCGGGCACTCCAGAGTCCACCAGAGGCAGAGGCAGGCCAGCTAAAGTGACTCGGGGACCGAGGCCGACCTGGACCCGCCCCCCAGCTCCGTACCTCCCGGAGCCCCCTCAGCACTCCAGCCGAGCCCCTCGGGGCGCGCAGGGACCAGGGGAGGGGCAGCGGCCGTAGGGACGCCCCTCTCCCTCCGGGTGGAAGAACTTGCTACTGAGTCCCGCCCCTCAGCTTCCGGTGTCAAGACAACTTCTGGAGGTTCAAAGAGGGTAGCCGGCTGCACAGCGCACCCAGAGGCGGGCGAGGGAATGCCCCGCCAGGGTTTGTCCTGGTTGTGTGGGTGCCAAGTTGCTGCACCTGTCTCTGATGCCCAAATGTTGTCTGTAAAGCTGCTGTAGGATTGTAACGCTTCGTTAACTCAATCATCGATTCGTCTAATGTTTTCTAGTTTCTTGAACGTGCTAGGAATGGAAAGCTAGGCAGGTGCTTTACTCCTGAGCTACACCTGGGGCACTCATCAAAATATTTTTTGAGCCTGGGATGGTGGTCCACACTTGTAATCCCAGCTCTTGGAGGATGAAGCAGGGTGATTCTGAGTTTGAAGTCAACTTAAGCTTACAGAGATACCCTGTCTCCAAGAAAAAAGAAATTGTGAGCACCTACCTAGTCTTGTGCAAGACCATGTGCAGAGAAAAAAGCCACAAAAAGTTCACTGTCTAGAAGATCTAGACCTTTAAACCAGTAAGTACCATATACCATGGTGACTGCTATTACAGAGATGCCATGGGGGACATAGCAAAGAGGCCTTTAACTTGGGGGCAACAGACGACAAGAAGAACTTCCTGGAGGAGGACATGTCTGTTTTCAAGTTTGAAGGGCCTACGGGAAAAGGGTGTCTAAGGTAGAAGAAACATTGCAAGAATCATGACATTTCTGAAACCACAAATCCTTGGGTTCAATGTTGATAGTAGAACATAGCCAAATAATCAGAGGTGTGTGGTAGACTAAAGACCAAACTCAGCAATAAAAATCCATTGACAGGAGTATACCAGTGGATGGACATGATCCATTTGGCAAAGAGCCAAGACTTAACAGAGATGAGATGGCACCAATTGAGAGGTTACTATAGTCCTCTGAGTTTAAATAATAATAGTAATTAAAAAAAAAAAAAGGCAAGACCCAGACTTGGGATGGAAAAGAGACTTAGGAGATGTCTGGCAGGAAAATCAACAAGTGTTGATGATAAATTACAAGTTAGCAATCCATGATTTGCCTCACTCGGTGGCCAAACAAATGGATGGATGTCCAAGATAAGGAGTTCAGGAAAGAATAAAAGTTTGCTTTTTCTATTGTTGAGGCATTGGACAAAAGTAAGTTCAATAAACAGGTTAAGGGGTTGGGGGATGTAATTCAATTGGTAAAGTACCTAGCAGGCATGAAACCCTAGGGTTGATCCCCAACACCACATAAAGCCAGGCATGGTGTTGAATGCTTGAAATCCTGGCACTTTGGAGGTGGAGGCAGGATGATCAGAATTTCAAGGTTACAGTAAATTCAAGGGCAGCCTGCATTACTTGAGACTTTGTCTCAGAGCAAACAAGTCAGGAGTGGTGGTACACACCTTTAATCCCAGCACTGGGGAGGCTAGAGGCAGGTGGAACTCTATGAGATCAAGGCCAGCTTGGAGCTACAAGCAGATCCTGTCTCAAAAAACAAAACAATAACAAAACAAACAAATAGGTTAAGCTAAATACACAATAGGTAACAGTATGGAAGTGTGAAACTCTGAAAAAGGTCTAAGAGGGGGCTGAAGAGCTCAGTGCTTAATATTCTAGAGTTTGGCTCTAAGACTCATGTTGGACCACTCACAACCACCTGTAACTCCAGCTCCAGGGACTCAAACTTCCTCTTCTGGCCTCTGTAGGCACCTGCACACACATGGCATACACTTACACAGACACACAAATGAGTAAATAAATGGTCTAGGAGATTGGAAGAGTTGAAAGTCATCAACTGATAAAGTTGTGGGGGAAGAAGGTCAAAGACAGGTTAGCTCTTGTATTAGACTGTACATGGTGAGGTGAGCCACTGACAGGCAGAACAGGTAGTCTGTGAGAGAAGGTGGTCTCTGAGTCTTGTGCTCTCCCAACCAGCAGAGTGGATATTTTGGAAAGATGTGACAGACTGGACGGATGACCTCTCTCAACTCACTGAGTCTCACCCATCCTCATCCAGTAGCCCTGTTCTTTTGGCTCCCTCAGCACTGAGTTATCTGCAAATGGGATAGGGGCCTTGGCATAGTTTTCCAAAAGGAGCATAGATCTTATTTAAATTATCTTGTCTTAGCCAGGCTTGGGTGGCACACGCCTTTAGTCCCAGCACTAGGGAGGCAGAGGCAGGCAGATCTCTATTCGAGGCCAGCCTGGTCTACATAGAGTTCCAGGCCAGCTGGAACTACAGGGAGACCCTGTCTGAAAAAGACGCCCCCGCCCGGAAATCTCGTTTTGTTTTAGTCCCTTTATCTTTACATTACAATCTCAAAGCCATCCCCTCCCATTTAACCTGAGAAGGCCCCAATTTAATTCAACTCCACAAATACTGTTGGGTGTAGTATTGGTACTACAAAGGTGATTAAGCTGTCTTTGCAGTCTGTAAGTTCGCAATACAAACTGCCTTTGGCCAGGCAAGCGTGCTGAGAAGAGTTTATGACAGGTAGGAGTACTGGGGACACCGAGGAAAAGGGACCTCACTCCACGAGCTGCCTTATAAACTCCCGGGCAGGGGCTGGGGCGCCATGTCATGTCATCCTCTCTAGGCTTAATGCTGAGATGGCACTCCCAAGCGGCTGACATGAAAGCGGCCTCATAAAAGGGTCCGCGTCATTAGGGTGATGAACCAGTTGGTGCTTGGAGATCCGTGGAGGATGAAAGGCGCCGGGTGAAGACGCCCTGCGTTCCCCTCGCTTGGCTGGGCTGGGCTTCCAGGGATCGATGAAAGCTGGGGACCTGGGCTCAAAGTAGCTCTTCAGGCCTTTCCGGGAGGAAGCTGTGGACACGCTGCAAGGTCGGGAAGGTAGTCGCGGGGGGCTTTTCCCCTCCAGAGTCTTGGGTGGCCCAATCCCCACCCACCCGGGACTCTCTGGAGCCTCACAGGAGACGCTCTAGGATTGCAAGTTGTTATGGCAACCAGGCTGTCGGCGTACTGAGGCAAGCCCAGGCCTAGAGAGGCAACACCCTCGTGTAGCCCTTCCTTCCCGCTGGTAAAATGGCGCCCCCTACGCACAGGAGCCGTCCCTGGGTCTCCGCCCCGGCGCGGAGACCCCCATGGACCTCCAGGGATGGGAGGCCGCTCTGGCCCCAAGCAGAGTCTCTCGTTGGTAGACGGGCCCGAGGGAGTCCCTCTGGGCGCATCGTAGCCGAGCGGCTCGATGCTCCGACCGGAAGTGCTCTTCACCGCCTGCCTCCCACCCGGCTCTCTGGTCCCGGCGGTAAGATGGCGGCTGCCGCGAAGTGCGATGTGGTAATGGCGGCGACCGAGCCAGATCTGGTGGAGGACGAAGAAGCCAAGAGGTAACCGGGTGTTTGGGGTCATGGCGGGGGCAGGCTTGGAGCTCGTGACTCGGGGGAAGTAGACTCGGCCGGCGGGCAACCCTCTGCTGCAGAGCCGATGCCCCGCCCTCCGCAGACCTCCCCCCTCCATATCTGAGCTGGAGTCGGGATAGACCCCCTGAAGGGGCGCTCTCGGGGGTCGGCCTTCCCCTTCTGCTTCCGCCTGGCGGGGGAGCTGAGGCCCGGCCTGGTTCTGCAGCGGAGAAGGAAGGTCGTCTTCCTCGTGGACGCCGGGTCTCTGCGGGAATCTCAGAGGTCGGCTGCCTGCAGGGTGGGGGAGGCGGCGCGGGCGTCGATGACGACTTCCTTAACCTAGCCCGGACCCCCGCCTGTTCTCGAGAACTTTGGTGCCTTGTTGTCTGTCCTCTCTGCACATCTCCAAAGCTCTCATTCTCCGCCTCACCTCCTTTTCCTCAATTATGCCCCAGCTGTCCAGGGAGAGTATGAACCAGCAATTGACCTGGTCATCCCCAGAGTACCGCAGAAGTTTAAATGGATATGACAGGGAAAGGTCAGGAGTTCGTCTCATGCTCTGCGGTTCAGACTCTTTCTTCACCCTTCCTCCCAGGACTTAAGCTCAAAGCAGGAGGGCAGCTGTTTGGTGCAGTTGGCACTGCTGGGCAGCTGTAGAGGCTCGAGGTTGCCAGTCTGGGCTAGCCAAGGGAGCTGCTGAGTGAGTGGTTTCGAGAACACTCTATAGATTCTGGCATCAGCTGTGAGGGCAGGTTATTGAAGTGGGATTGGAACACGGTTGTGAGCAGGCGAACTTGTTCTGATTCTAAAGGTGAACAGATTGCTTTATCAGCTGCAGATTAATCTGATCCTTTGGTTCAGGATAGTACAGTACTCTCAGTCTCCTTTCCACGTACATCTTCATACTCATAGCGAGCCTGCAGGGTATGTCTTCAGTCTGACGAATTTGAGGTGGTGATAGAGAATGAGTTTAGATCCGAAATCAGAATTCTGAGATTTTTAAAATTTTTTTTATTATTTTTAGAGAATGAGTTTAGATCCGAAATCAGAATTCTGAGATTTAAAAAAAAAATTTATTATTTTTATTTTATGTGTATGTGTGTATTGCCTGCATGTAGGTAAGTGCACCCGTGTGGTGCAATGCCTGCAGAGGTCAGAAGAGGCTGTTGGATCCCCTGGAACTGGAGTTATGGACAGTTTACCATGTGGGTGCTGGGATTCGGACCTGGGTCTTCTGCAAGAACAACCAGTGTTCTTAACTGCTGAGCCATCTCTCCAGCCCCGATTTTTTTTTTAAACCATACAAGTTGGATACAGAAGAGTGCTCAGTGTGGCACAGTGAATATATAGTTATCAAGTGTAAAGATAGTTTCTGACTTGTCGTAGTAGATCCCTGGGATAGCAGTCTAATTTCCTTAGGTTGGCGGGTTTGTTTTGAGACAGGGTCTCCCTGTAGCCCCAGCTGGCTTGGAACTCATTATGTAAACCAGCCTGTCCTCTAATCTCCTGAGTATTGGGATTAAAGGCATGCACCACCTTGCCTGGCCTCCTTAGTTTTTAATTTTTACATCATTACAGTATTTAGAGTTAAGCATCATCAGCTCATTAAGGAATTGAAAAATGGGAAGGAAGGCTCCTCCCCAACACAAACAGAACTTAACTTCATT